TTATTTCGGTAAAAACTGTCACATTTTGGTATTGAAGCTATGTAGACTTGATGAATGAGTGATTGATATAGGAAGTGAGTTCCAAATCTTAGGACCTTGGTAGAGATATGTAAATTGCTTGAGATTGGTTAGACACGAAGGCATTAGATTATTACTGGCAGCTCTTATGCCACAGCAGTGAATTTGGCTATTTATTCTACAAAGATTAAAGCAATGGGGGCAATCGGTTATTTAAAACATGAATTTGGTGATTTCACAAGTACTGACTTGGAAAATGTCTAAAATATTTAGTTTGAAGAATAATGGATAGGAATGGGCCTCTCACTCCCACGACTTATTTATCATTATTAACAGTAACAAGGGCTATACATTTCTTATACTGTGACCTCTAACATTGGCATTAATCAATAATATCCTTTATATGAATTTCTTTGCTTTCTTCTCAAATCTTTTTACTTGAAACTATACTGAACATGCTATAAAAATAATTTCCTTGTTGGTCACTCCTTGGGAGAAAATTGGCGAAGTTTAACATGAATTTCTAGTGTGTACATGATTAAAGCTCAACCAAATATGGTTGCCAAAAGTAAAATTTTGGTTGCCAGGAAAAGAACCATGTGTGATATTAAATGACATCCTAAAGCCCTGATCACATTCATTGTCTTTGGAGTAAGCAGTATAACTGGTATGCATTTCTGAAGTTTTGCACGTAATCTTCAGGCTTAATCCTTTAATTCCCATGAGTGATGAAGTCTGAATTTCTCCTTAAAATATCAATATAGTACCAAGCAATGAGAATAGAGAAAAGTATCGATTAGGAGATGATTTGTTGATCCAATACCAAATTCTCCAAACTAACATCATAAGAATTGTATGGAAGATAGAAAGGAGATTCCTAATCAGATCTTGTTATGAAATGGCTAAAAAATCCACCAAGGAAAATGAGTCACATAACCTTGAAGAGTGACACCTTTTGAAAATGTTTGCATCACTTCAACTTCCACCCCCTTGCGGTTGTCTAGTCACCCTGGTAAGCAAGACAAGCGCATCTTGGAGAGCTGTGTGAACTGTCAAGAAAGTTCATGCAAACTAACACACAACAAAACTTCCCATGATAAACCTTTTTTTAACTGCCACAATAAAATGGTGGTTGATGTACACTTTTGACTAACTATTTTGTTCATATATTTATTTAAAAATTTATTTTTTATAGTTAGATATTTATTCCCTTCTAGTACATTCATATAATTAGCATTTATTTGCCTCGGGCTAGGTAAAAATTGTTGAATAATCCTTGAGATGAAGTTGAGGGGATTATTCATCAATTTTCACTGAGCCTGTGGCAATAATTGTTTTGGTATAATTGCTTAAAAGCATATGAATTCTGTTGTAAATTTGTTTTGATGTTGGAATCATTGCATACAATTATTTTGATTACTCATAACAACAAGGCAGGCAGTTTCTGCAGGATTTTGACAAGTTTATTTGACTCAATTAGAAAAAAGTTCATATCTTTCTTTTGAAAAGTGTCACATCATACTTAGCAGCATCTTTAGTGCTTATGTCATGTTTATTGTGTCCTGCATATCATTGACAAAACACAAGACAATCATTTGGAAATTTAGAGCCCCTGCTGAACTCACTTTGTGCAAGGTGATTATCACCAGATATAACACAATCCTCTACCAATCAGAGCGCATGCATTTCTATAATCACCCCAGCAACTATACTTATATTATTCACCTGAGTGACGGTGAAAAATGGTGGATATTTACCCTAATCCCCAAAGCAGCAAGGTAAATATTGAAGTGAATGATTGTTTTGGTTTATACCTCATAAAAGCCCTAACTTTGTTAATATAACAAAAAATGGAGTTAATAAAAAATTAAGAGGTGAAAACAAATTCACCTTTGTGGTACAGCCCTTATCCTGTTGGCAAATATTTTAGGAGTGCCACTGTTACCATGATTGTAAAAGAGAAGGAAAGAGATATTCCATACAATTAATTGTGATCAAGAGGGTTAGAGAGTTTTTTAGGGTCATTTTTAAAATTAAATGGGTCCCCAATCATCCACAATAAATCTTTTCACAACAATACAAATTGCACACATGCAGAATGATTTTAAACAAGAATTTGAAGGAAAACTAATACAAAATATGCATAAATTTCAACCAGGGTAGAGAATAAATGGTAAATTTGAATCACAAAGTAATTTTCAACAAGGCTCCTCAACTACTAGACATGTAATAAAAACTTACTTTTATAACTTTTACTTAAACGCAAATCACAACATTACCACAATTTTTTTGATCAAGACCCCCTAAACTGTGTCATGTACATGAATATCTATCCTAGATGCTCCTGCAGACCGTCAGTGGTATTAAAATTCCACATGCAATCTTCTCTGCATATTCGGGCCTAGTCATTCAAAGACTGACAATACTATTCAATGGATAAATTGCTATCCAGTATGTAAGTGTCAACAAAATGTACTTCTCTATTTACTGGATCAAAATTAATCCAGTGGACATTCTTATCCACCCTTTCTAACAACTGGGGCCACTTCCAAAATACTAGTCCAATGCATCAATTTGTCTTCAATTGAGAGTGCAGCTTATCATATAAAGAACCAATTTCACGAATGATTGCCCAGCACGTCAGTGTACCTTGTTTGATTTTTTCTTGCCCTTTGTGCATGTCGATTTCAGAGCATGATGTACTTTCATGAAGAAAAAACCATTTCTTATCGAAACAAATACTAGGCGTATTTATAACATGCTCTAAAACTACATGTACTTCAAAATTCCAATTCTTTCTGAATAACGGCGAAGTGTTTATATTACTACTAAGTGATTCTATGTAAATGTATTTATGATGACTGAACAATTTTAAACATCTAAGCAGCAACTTCTGAGTATAATGTGACTGTGTATTCAAATTGGACAAAATGTGCAAGGAAAGCTATTCTTTTCTTAACACTTAAAGTATGCTTAGATGAAAAGCATATTTTTGTATATTTGTACTAAACCAGTGAGAGTATCTTGTGATTAAAGCAAAAATCAAGGACTGCTTAAAATCAAATAGTCCACTATATTATCTGCAAATACCTCAAAGGTAGTCAACTGATAAAAGAACAACAGACATTAATTCAAACAAAAATATGTTTCTATACCACTAAATATTCTGTGGTAAATGTTATCATGTAAAATTACTGGATTAGAAAAGAAACTTTAGCTCACCAACTCAAGCTGTTTGGCCAAATCAAGTTTAAACTGGTCTTCCGGTTTCTTTTTTCGATTATCTGAAGACTTTGAAGTAATCTGCTGAAAGAAGACAAACTATTAATAACTCAGCACCTGAAACACTTTGGCTAGACAAAGAACTAAGGTGGAATATTAATTTGAAGGTTTCATGTTACAGCTGTCAAACAGGGAAGGAATTTTAATCTTCCTAAGCGAATATGGCCATGTAAGGAACGTTCACAAGAATGAGGCAAAAAATGCAAGACGCGGCAACATTTAACTCTAGCTAGAAAAATATATAATTTTCGCCATGCAGGCAAATTTCTGGTAAAAAGTATTTGTTTTGATAGCTCAACGATTGAAACACAAAGTAGACCTGTAATCTCTTCTATATTATAGCGCTCAGTAACACGTTCGCTGTTTGATGGAAAGGGTCAAATATATTGCCACAATGGTCACATCGATACAATAAAGATTCTAAAATACCAAACAAGAAACATGGTAAAAGAACTGCGAGTATGTTCGATTTTCATTCCTGCTTCTGAAATGATGAAATATGGAAATATAAGTAATACCACTTAAGTGATATGAAGATATTATAATTTCGAGCGGAAAAGGCTGTATATTCTGTATCTCCTGACCAACGGAAGAAAACAGGCAACCCTTTTACTTAAACGAATCGACTTAATTTAATTGAATTATTATTGCAACGTATTGGCAGTAACTTGGCAGCTACATGTGAACGGCTCGTATGTCCTGAAGTAAACCGAATCTTAAAGCATATGTTTAATCAACCCCAAGGCCGCAATTACACTGAGAATTGGACATTTTTATTTTCATACCTGCGTCTGCTGTGTAGCAGGTTTCCTCTTTTTGATATGGGGTAGCTGTTCACGCTCGCGGTCTTTTAATTTACGACTGTTTCGCCTGTCCACCTCCTTCGTATTGACCTAACCCAACGTCGAAAACGATCGAAATTAAATTCGAAAAGCATTAGAAAGAACTGCTTTGAGGACGGATATTCGAATAAAATTTATCGAAACTGGACGGATTAATAAGGATGATCATTTTAACGACAGCGTTTAGGCAGCCTACCTGAGACGAATTTTCTGACTTGCTGGCTCGTTTAGTGAGATGAGTTGCCGTTAAGCTGATGACAATGGCGGAAAAGATAACACTCTCTACAGACTAACAGGGAAAAAAATACAGCATAATTTAGGAAACAGGGAGGCCCACTTGTGATATATGAAAGCAAAGGGAAACAATCGTCAACATTTTTGGTTCAAGTTAAGAGGAAGGAATGCTCTAGAGTGTAATTAAACATGATCGCCTGTTCCAGTACTTTACCTGTGTGATCAGTGGTACGACTACACATCCGACAACAGACCCGAACACGCAGAAGACCGAGTACTGATCGAAGAACCCTCTTCCAACCGCCATGTTGGCGCATCAACGCTGTGGATGATTCAGATCAAGTGGTCAGATAAACAGTAAACAATGCGTACGTATTTGAAATTCGTCGATGTGATCAAAAGAACGGCCGATCAGAAATGAAAACACTCGTCTGTACACGTTCGTATCTCACAGAATCCACAACTGCCCGCAAATTTGTTTAAAAGAAGTAATGTAGTAAAAAAATGACTTCTTAGTGAATTCAACTGGACAATAATTCGCCTTACTTCGAAAAATATCAAACCAAACCAACTTCCGTAGATTCTGTCTTTCACAAAACCGAAACACGAAACATGAAGCTTTGTGAACGCATATATTAGTGTTTGTGACGTCACATCAGGTGACGGTGGCAGTTGGCGCGCAAAAATATTACAAATACATTTTCGCACTGGTCGCTAGGCAACTCAAAGTCGATTTAGCAGGGACAATGGCCACTTTACAAAAAGTTAGCATAGAATGGTCGGCTGTTTTTTCAATAATTAAAATAGGCAAACCGTTTTATGCATAAGAAGGAAAACGCAAAGAAAAAATAAAACTTTCGACTCTGTCTCGACGGTTTTTGACAAAGATAAAATGATCTTGTTATCTTATCTAGGTTTGCAGAGACACCAAACCTCTTCACACCAGAAATCTCGTTATAATTTTTGGCATATCTGTCGTATTGAGTGTTTCCTCTCCAAAAAGAATCCCTTGAGCACTCTCAAAAGTCTAAGGCAATTTAAAATTTAAATTGCAATTGAAATCTAATTTTATATATCGGTCATAAATAATGCAAAAACGTCTAGGCTTGAAGAAACCCGAGCACTTGAAGGTTGAAGTGACTTCCCATCGGCCATCACGGCTGACCTTGTCAAATCACAAGTGGGATTACTTTCACATATTGGCGTCGGGCATGGGCGATTATCATCGTAAACTTAAAGAAATCTTATTTATCCAAGAATTAAGCCAGCTTAAATTGCTGATGCGTGAAGGATTGTAACCATTTGTATCTTCTGATATACTTGCTATTAAAGATCTGTGTTTTGTTTCCCTTTTATCTATTCTTGGGAACTGACCCCTCCCCCCCCCCATATAACAAGTAGAAGTATAGGTTAGTAGTTACCTTTGGAAACCTATGTAGACAGCTGCATGTTACATACATGTACACATGATTAACCCTGATATAAATCTAAAAACAACATGATACCAAGTGAAATCTTCAACTGAAATCATTTTAAAAGGAATTGACATTGTTTGCATTAAAATCAACGACCACAATATAATAATATGATTCTGAGAACAGAAGTTCATTCAGTTCCTTTGTCAGGTATACCCAACAGAGCCGTAATTTATTTTTAGCAGGGCGACTTCGGTGATGTTTCAGACAGAAAATTTTCAAAGTTTAACACTTAGGCGCAATTGAAATATTTCGCTAAATCTCAATCTGGGATCAAAACATGAAACAAGCATAAAACACGACAGAAGAATCAACTACCGACGAAAAAAATATCAAAATAGTTCGCAAAACCAAGTCTGCGAGAAAGCTGTCATTAGGGTTGCAAACAAACATCTAGCGCACCTCTTACGAAGTCTGCAAGAGTTAATTTAGTCTTCTTTGTTCTCCAACATGAGGTCTAAGATCCGAAGAGTCTGGCACGAGAAACGCGAAAAGCGAAAAGCGAAAAGCAACGCCAATCAGGGCTTGCGCGCCTGGCAGCAATTTAGACACGTGTTGGTTGGTTCGCCGAAAATGAGTGCCCCACCCTATTCGGTCCTCCTAGGTTGATCCGGCCACCTTGAGTTGATCCTGAGTTCAATTTTTGTCCGGAATAGGGTTGAAAACAATCACAGTTTGTAATACTGAATGGGACCAAATTTGAAAGGTTGCGCCACGAGTGTCCGACATAGCATATCATCGTTAATCAAGAGCCAGCAGAGTTTTGGCGGCATTTGAGATTAGCCGTTTCAATTTAAGTCTGTGATGGCTTTATTCAGGCCATCAATTTCCTCTCACACGGAAATCCGAGATGAGAAGGGGAAAATAAAGAGCCTTTTACCCTACTTTGTTGTTTGTGAAATTCAAGCTGATAACTAACAGACTGATGGGGCCATGCAAGTTTCATGCTTCCCGCTTCCTGCTTTTGGAATTCGATAGGTGTAATTGGAGAAGAAATTACAATGAGAGAGAAGGGCGAGATTGTCTACAGGATCGATGTGTAGATGCGGATAAATGGAAGACAAATGCTTGGTACAACAATTACTGGGTTTGTCGCTGCTTTGTCAATGTCGTTGTTTTATATTTAAACTTGAATTTAAATGTCCGTTTCTTCCTGAAAATGAAATGCACTGATCGATGGCCTCAGACGATTGCCATGATCAGAAAGACGTATAGACATCGAAGAAATCGTATCCTTAATTTAAGATATCAAATTACTTATACCTTTTTTAAAATTCTTGAAAATTTCGGACGGTCCTCTTTAGTAACTGCTATTTCTACATTCTTTTTAATAGACTGTCTCACACCTGTTCCATGCCGCGGACAGCACCGGAAACTATTTACGCAGGGAAGTCAATTAAAAATAGTTTCAAAACTAGAAGGTAGATGGTGTTTCGTTTAATAAATAGGCGTTGCCTCGTGTTGACAGATTTATTCGATGACAAGAATCGTGATTGACATTAATTCAATAGATTGATTTAAAAGCGTTAGATTATTATGTTTTAAGTCAGTTTTTCAGCAGAATCGAAGTGAGAAAGAAGTTATTTTGTTATCGTTTTTCTGTCTCTAAATCCGCTTACCTGAAGAATCTGCTAACCCGTAAAGTGAGACTGTTGTAACGAACCGCCGCAGAAGTAAGTTTATATTGAAGTTTTTTAATTTAGTTACAAGATAAAGACTTGATTTGCGTTTGTTCTAATTGCGAATTATAAATGTATTTCTCTTAGATTGAATAATTATTAAATCTTGGCTTAATATTATACGGTTTGTGGTGGTCATTTGATCTAACCAGTTCCGAGTAAGGAAACAGATGGACTGGCCGGTAAACAAGGACAAAGGGATTCAGAATCTTAACGTTGCAAATAAGTTTGTTTGAAATGTCATGGAAATGACTAAATGAATTAGCGTATTTCTGTTTTATTCATTTACTAATCTGTTACCATGTTCCAAGACCTAGAAAATAAGGCCTACGCCGTATCTTTTAAAGCGGGGAGTATAGGGAAGGGGGGGCACAAAGGCGAACGCGGGAGCTCTGGGAGGGGGGGCGGGGCGACGGCCGGGCCTATTCACACGGGAAATGTTTATTTGAGCTCCACTAGAATAACGGCAAATGTTTCTTTACAAACTTTCCGCCACGTTTTTATCAACGATCAACGTGAAAATAAAATGGTCATGCCTTCAGCGACTGAACCAGAGAATACAAAACCAAAATCAGACATGAATTTGGGTCGAAATAGACAAATTATAAAAATAGCCTTTTTTCCATGTGAGGTTCGCTCACCGAAAAAAAGCCATTTAACTCCTTAACTCCCGAGATCTAATTGTTAACTCTCCCCTCAAGCTGCTATAACTTTCCTTGTAAATCAGTCATAAGAATTTGGTGTTAGATCAATATAACAATTTCTACCTGATAACTTTGTGCATTCTCATTACTTTTTGCTGGATAATGGGTGGATATTACAGGGAGAAGTTATATGTTCATCACTTCTGGGAGTTGTAAGGTAAAGGGACATAAACCTATATTGCCATGAGGTTAGAATTGGAACAATTAACATATCACAAGTAACCCTTCATGTCTGTCGTCTATGTGCGCGACTACTCTGCCAAGGAAAAAATTACATTTAAATTATGAAATTTTTCTGCATCATATTTTTGGCGATTTTATTCTAATTTCATAAATAATTTTTCCATTGCCAAACGTGAGGTCCCTGCCTCTCTGTGGTTCCTGTCTGAGCGAGAAAGCTAATTCCTTTGAAGCTTGATCGACATAGAAATAATTCAATAGTGAGATATGGCCATTTGATAATTCTTACTATTTCTAAAAATGATTGCATCTGTTTGCCGTTTGCTAATGGTAAAATAATACAGCACTTAATGAAGTAACAGTACATACGTTAAAAGAACTTAAAAACCTAGAGGATAAAAATTATATTGATCGATGGATTAAAGAGCGGTTTTAAGCATTCTTTACATTGTAAGCTACACTAAGCTACATAAAACTTAAAATAACTGAGTTATCTAAATTTTACAATATTAAAAAATGAATCACATTATTAGCAGCCTGCAGAACAGACGGAAAGTTATTTGTCTTTGTTCAGGCGAACAAAGACAAGTGCGAAACGAGCGCGGATCACGAACGATGGTGCTTCATCACCAGTACGTGACTAGCGCTTCGCGTTTACTTCCGTTCGCCTAATAAAAGCAAAAGTTATGCCTGTTCGGCACGCTAAATTATTAACACTTTTCTACATTGAATTGAATGTAAATTGAAGTGCACCGGAGAAGCATCAGTGGTTTATCAAGCGCTTACCACGTAACCAAATAGCGGCGACTACTTTTCTATGACCATAATTAATTCAGGCATTCGGCCGATAGACAACTTAGGAAATTCCGCCTTAACTCTTTACACCCTAATATCAGTTTGCATATTCTCTATAATGATCTCTATACATTTTCTGAGATGCTGATGGGGAGAATTTGTTTAACAACCAGGAGTCCCTCGAATTGGTGATCATTTCCTTTATTCTCGTGACCATAAATTTTTGATTCAGGGGTGGGTGATATTGTAAGAAGAAATTAGATGCTATCCACTCTTAGGCTTTAAAGGGTTAACCCAGTATCGGGTCTTACATATCAGAACGGGTCGTCCGTCACAAAACTCTTCTTAATTGACACGTCTGGATACATAGACCGCAAATTTTCGACAAACTCTTTTGATAACTGCGAACAGAAGGAGACATCGAGGAACCGCAACTTTTTGCATTCTTTTAACAACCTACAAGAGAAAGCAACACATCTCACTTTCTGCGACCTCGTGTTTCGCCTAAAACAGAGCGTACCAGCAACAACACATTCGCAACTAACATTTTTGTCACAAGTATTCTCCACAAAACACCATCGTGATGATAGAAGAGTTGACAATTGAGTAGGGGAAGCCACGTAATCTGCGACTGTATTGTTTTGTTTCAATTCGCTCTGTGATAGGTCGAGGAAATTCGCGCTTCCTTGCTCTTAACTTATCAGATATAATCGCGACTTGGTCTCTTGCGTTCTCCTGCGCTGCAGGCTGTTTTTTGTTACTGTTATTTTGGGTGTCGTTTGCTAGTTGTGACCTTTTCTTAGTTTTTATTGGTCATTGAGATAAATTTGGTAATGATTTCATTACAACTGAGAATGATTCTCCACGCACATTTACCACTTCCATTCCCGCGGAAGTCGTAGAAAAAATATGAATATGGCACCTGTCCAAATTGCTCTGCTATCGGTGAACCTCAAGTTTCCAAAACAGGAAACGAGGGAATTTCGTGCTTCCCTGTTTCGATTTCGAACTATTCGGGGTATCGAACAGGAATACGAAAATGGAAAAGAAGGAAAGGCGGAAACATTCTAGTTTCATGTCAACGGACGCTGTAAGAAAAAAAAAAGTTACCTAGTGATAGAATGGGGACGAATGAGACCAGTTCCCAGCACATCTACTTGTTCTAAGTCAGGGCAGTTATTTGCTAACGCATTTATGACATCGTCACTGACTGACCTGAAAACATGAAAATCGTTGAGTTAAAAAATTTGCAATGTAATCAAAGGAACTTCGCCATTAGACGAAACCATTACACTGTAAAACGCGTAATCACTTTCTTGTCTGTCAAATGAAAGCTCAGTCATTTTGCTTGTGATTCTCAACCTCACTGAATTCATTACTCCGTTGATAGAACTAAAGACGTCTTTAAAAAATTCCGTTTAATTAGAACAAGGAACCAGCAAAATTAGTAGACGACAATTCGAAGTTATGTTTGGGTCTGTTTAGAAAAACTACTTCCATATCTGAAACCCTTTGGAAAATATTTCCTTACAGCTTCCTTTAGGACGTTCTTAAATCATTTTCGTAAGTAGGGAAAAATATTAAGAAACAAGGACATTAAATGAAAAACAAAAAGATCAATGGAAAATAAAACAAAGAAAACAGAGCGAAACAAATAACTAAACAACACATCTGAATAGCGAAAGTCAATTTAAATTACCTCAGCGCTGTAAGAAACAACTTTTTCAGTTTCCTACATTTAGAGGTCAAGCAAGATATACATTCCGCCGCGTTTGTCACTGTGGAGCTACAGAAGAGAAAAAAAAAATTGTCAAAAGAAGAAAAGTACATTCGAACCTGTATTAAGCACGCTCAGTTGTCGAAGTCCCGAAATGACCTTCTCTTAAATACTGTAATTTTCACCTCTATGAGCGGTCACCTCCCACCCATGACTGAGTCCCAAAGGTCTCCCTGTATTGTCTTCCATTTGTATTGAACGGTCACTTAAAGAGGAACCAGTCAAATAATACTAAGAATAATCTTTCAGGTCAAATTTATTCAATGTTTATCTTCCAGAATCAATGTAAGTACTTTGAGTTCAAATGTCGTGAACGCATTGCAGATTGTTTTTCTTCTTAGGACTGTAACGACAAAAAGGCTTTTTATCGCGTTTGACTCCTATTACGTGGAACCTGTATTAAGAGTGGGTGACCGCTGAATACAGGTTCGACGGTAGTAATAAATGCCCACCGACACTTCTGAATGGATTTTTTACGATTGTACCAGTCAGAACTACAAGGACTACAGGACTTCAAAGAAGGTGGCCTCTGTGAAACCCAATCGTTTATCTTGCTTACCATGATAGAAAACTAAGTAGAACCCCTTCTCACTTTCCCTGAGGGGGAGAGGAGAGGGTACAGTAATGGGACATTTATGGAATAAGTGTGTGTCATTGTGATGGGGAACATTTTTTTAAAAAAGCATTTTAGTCTGGGAAAGAGAAATTGAAAATCAGAGGAGACACAAATTAAGTTTTGAAAGAAATTCTCCTTACACTCGAAAAATTCATGACAGACGAACTACCATCGCACCTTTCAAACACAAAACGCGAATTTGTTCATCTACAACTGCTTGCTAATAAATGGATTAAGCACTTTTCTAGCAAAAGTTGACGAGGCCAAAACCTACCGCTGACTGAAAAAACTTTTTTTTTAATAAATGAATAAACGGGGTACGTTCATAAATAAAACGGTGGTGCTGCGTCGGCAGGGTATAATAAGATAATCTGGTTTTAACAACTGAGTTGATAATGTAAATTGGCCACCGTAAAGAGTTTCTAAAGCTGACGTTCTGAGCGATGGCCCTTCGTCAGAGTGATAGTCTTTCAAATCAGCACACTCAATTCCCACGGTATCAATGGACACTTTTCATTCAACTACTCTATACTTGTGTTATTTATGTTACCACGTTCCCATCAATAACGTAGCTCCATCTTTCTGTATATAAACTACATACAACCCAAAATTCCTCTCTTCGCTCTGACGAAGGGCTGACGCCCGAAGCGTCAACTTTAGAAACTCTTTTCGGGAGCCAATTTACATTATCAACTCAGTTAATTTATAATGGTTACTGAACTGAGTGGAATGCAATTTGGGCTGAAATCATACCTGTGATTTCAAAATCGATCAAGCGCGCAGCGCGAGTTCGATTTGAAATCACAAGTATGATTTCCTACCAAAATTGCGAGACACGAGGTTCAATTACCACTTTATTACATCCATTTCAAAATCGCCCAAATACAGGACTGGGTCACTTCAAATATTTTATTGATGCAGTACTGAGCCGGTTTGAAATTAAATTC